TTTTTTTTTGGCTCTGGCCACCGGATAAGAGCCGTGGGGGGGGCAGTGGGTAGTGGGTGGCAGGCTGCTCTCTGCAAGGGCAGCAGTTCAAAGCCACCAGCTGCTCCAAGGGAGAAAGGTGAGGCTTTTCTACTCCCACGTAGAGTTCCCGTCTCGGAAACCCACAGGGGCAGTTCTACCCTGTCCTGCAGGACTGCTCTGAGTTGGAATGGACCGGCCGGCAGCGAGTTTTTGTCTTTGAGTCCCCGGAGGGTGTACACAGTCAACAGTCCATGGATCTGGCTGCGGACAGAAACTGGCAGGTTCCAGTCTGCCCTGAGGTGACTCTGAAGATAGGCCTGAGCATCAAGCTCCCCCCTCCAGAACAACCCCCGCAAACCGCCATTTGTGAAGCATCGTCCTCCTCAGACACGTGGGGTGACTGTGCGTCAGTCGACCGCCGGTGGAACTTGGACAAGCCCAAGCCCACTCTCCACCTCGGCCACAAAATGGGTAGAAACTACCAAGTCCAAGGTCCTTTCAATATGCCGACAAAGAACATTGGAAGTTCCCTTTGGAAGTCCTTTGGACTGCCCAAAGGACAAACAAATCTGACAGCCAGAGTGCTCCTTAGGAGGACTTGATCTCACATACTTTGGACATGTCAGGAGAGATCAGACCGTGGAGGGGGACCTCCTGCTTGGTGCAGGGGAAGGGCAGAGAAGAGGGAGACTCTCAAGGAGATGGAGCGACACCGTGGCTGCCAACCCTGGGCTCAATGCTAAGGACAATTGTGAGGAGGGTGCAGGACAGGGCTGGTTTTCCTCCTCCGGTACATGGGGGTCACTAGGAGTCGGTCCTCATTGGACGGCACCTAACAAGAGTAAGAGTTACCGGTTCTTGGGCGAAGCAGACCAGCAGCCTCCAGAGGGTCTATGTCACCTCGTGTTGTCACTGGTGTTCACACACACACACACACACACACACACACACACACACACACACACACACCTGCCTCCTGCCCCATATAGAATCCTTAGAAATGTGTGTCAAGATTTGGAAAAAAAGATTTGAATCATAAAGCCCCACGTGATAAATCGAGTCGTAGGTCACTTGAACACCATAGCTCTCTGATTGGGTGAACATGAACCTCAGAATCCCGTGGCTGAATGTTCTCCATTGAATTAGGATGTTATGGTCACCGAGTCTACGCCTTTTTTTCCCCCCTCCTCTTTCCCTGATTGCTCCCTTCCCAAAACAACATTGATAAAGGGCCACAAACCCTCAGAGCCACAACATTGTGGTTAAAACAGCAGGGCACTGGGCAAAATCAGAGACTACCTACAAAAACAGCAGCAGCAGCAAACCCACTGGCTTTGTAGCTGGGGAGGGGGCAGGGGCGTGGACAAAACCATGTGATTGGGAGCATCCTTGTGATTTGGTGGGGTGACTGGAGGGCTTTGGAAGGCTCTCCAGGTAAATTAGCCTGGAGTTTTAGCCTTGCAGGTCTATTGAAAGAATCACAGCTTGCAAAGGAACCAAGGAATCTGTCTTGGAAGACGCACAGCCAGAGTGCTCCTTAGAAGTGTGAATAGGGAGAATTCTTTTCGGGCCTTTGCCTTTTGGAACCCCCCGGTTTTCCCGGGTTGGGGGGCGGCGGGGGTTGGGTTGGGGGCGGGGGCGGGGGCGAGCGTGTGGGTCTGTGTCTCTCCTCTCTCTTGTCCCAGCTCTCGCTTTTCAGGGAACAGTTCTCAGACCTCTGATGAAGTCACATTGCTGGGAAAGAGGTCGGATGAAGGACACGATTTAAAATGCAGGGCAATGGCCCTATCTTTGGGAGCCCTGCTGGTGTAATGGTTTTGTATTTGGATTGTGATCTACAAAATCACCGGTTCGAAACCACCAGCTGCTCCTCGAGAGAAAGACGGCGCTTTCTACTCCTGTAAAGAATTACGGTCTGGAAACACACAGCGACAGTTCTACTCTGTCCCATAGGGTCACTATGAGGCAGCACTGACTCGATGGCAGTGAGGGTTGTTTTTTTTTGGGAGGGGGGCATTATATTTGGCATAAAGTGCCCTCCAAGGGAGACTGAGGCACAAGCCCTCTTTAAAGTGTTGAAAAGCAGCAAGGATGTCACTTTTAGGATGAAGGGGAGCACGACCCAAGCCATGATGTTTTCAATCCTTTCATATGCATCTGAATGCTAGACATTGAGTCAGGAAGACTGTGGACGAACGGGCGCAGCTGAATGATGGTGCTGGCGAGGGATATTGAAAGGACCTGTGGCGGGTACATCGCCTGGTGTCAATTTGGGACTTGAGAGGATTAAGGTTGAAGGAGTGGAGTCTAGCCAATGAGGGCTCTGTGTGGGCATGGCCTTCTCCTGAGGATTCTGGGAACTTCTGTAATTCTTCCCTGGAGATGGGAGATACTTTCTCACTCGGCTCATTCCCTGAAAGATCCTACTGACAAGACACATGGCACAACGCGAGAGGCCCCGTGTCCTGGAAACCGGAGGAGCCACGTGGAGACCCACGCCAGCTCAGAAATGCTTCTACCACCACTGGATCCACAAGACTACACCCACTCACTTGTGATATTCCTGCACTCGGGATCATTGCAAGTATTTCGTGAGTCTGAAGAGGACTTTATAGATTGGTATCAGATATTTGGGCTAATATCAGACTCATGGGCTTGATCTGGACTGGGCTGGGATGTTTTTTCAGTCTATTGCTCTTATAAAACTCTTTCCTGTACACATATGAGTGTCTATGAATTTGTTTCTCTAGTCTACCCAGACTAACACACAGTACCATGGCCTGCCGAGAGAGTCAACAGCCTTCCTTGGAAGTTCAGCCAAGAATGCTCCTTAGCGGCAAGGATGGTGAGACATGGTCTTCCATACTCTGGACCTCCTATCAGTCCAGACCTGTCCCTGGAGAAGGACACCATGCTGGGCGAAGTGGAGGGGCAGCAACAAAGAGGGAGGCCTTTGATGAGACGGACTGACATCGTGGCTGCCACGATGGAATCAGGCCAGGATGGCCAGACTTCGTCTCGCGTCCTTTAGACATGTTGTCAGGAGAGACCAGTCCTTGCACAAAGGACGCCATGCTTGGTCAAGCCGAGGGGCAGCAAAAAAGGAGGCTCTTGATCAGACGGGTTGGCATGGTGGCTGCAACGATGGGTTCAACCCTACGGACACATGTGAGGACACATGTGAGGACGGTCCAGGACAGGGCGGTGGGTCATTCCCTTGTACACAGGGTGGCTATAAAGCCCAAACTCCAGGGAACGGAACAGCAGCAGGGAGATTTGTACAAGTCAACTGAGCTCAGGAAAAATGTTTGCGTTGTAACCAACGACGACGACAGGGATATTTTTTATATAAAATACCTTTCTGTTGAAACACTATGAAAAACTAGTCAATTTGGTGTCACAATGCTGGCTTCCTGTCTTTCCTTCCCAGGGTCCTCTAGGTGTGGCCCACATTGCCCCCCCGCCCCCACCCCTTCATGATAGCCTGGTCTGAGGGGTAGCCTGAGTGCTGCTCCCCCCTAAATGTCTAGGTCCTAGACAGCAGTCCTCAACCAGTGGACCCGGAGCCCTTTGGGGGTCGAACGACCCTTTCACGGGGTCGCCTGATACATCCTGCCTATCAGATATTGACATGACGCTTCATCACAGTAGCAGAATGACGGTGATGAAGCAGCAACGAGAATCACTTTATGGTTGGGGGCTCACCACCACATGAGGAACGGTCTGAAAGGGTTGAGGTATTAGGAAGGTTGGGAACCACCCTAGACTCTAGGGGGGACATGAGGTCCCTGACACAGACAGGGCAACTGAGTTCAGCTGAGAAGAGACAGCCCTCCTCGAAGGGAAGGGAGGAGGCGGGGCTGAAGGATGGACTGGGAATGCCGGGGACAGGCACTGGAACGGTCAGTTTTGTGGGTGCTGGGGGGGGGGTGTTGGGTCTACTGGGGCTCCCTTTTATCCCATCCACATGTAATAAAGTTGCTTCATATCAGATAAAGTCTGGCCTTGGACCCCCCTTTTCTCCCTCAGACCCAGGAATCCCAGCCCCTGGCCCTGGGGAAGTCACACTTTGCCCGCTTGGTACTAGGCTCCTGGTGACACCTTGGCCTCCAGGCAGGGCCTCTGAGTCACCCAGGTGGGAGTGATCACCCAGGCGTGCCTGGCACCCAGGCGTGCCAGGTGGGGGTGATCACCGCCCTCCTGGGGTGCTGCACACAGGCTCCCCACCCAGCTCCGGCGCTCCACCCAGTGGCCCTTGCACGCCAGCCTCCCTCAAAGCGCAGAGAGGAGCCGGGCACTGGCAGGAGCTATGGTTTATTCTCAGGGCCACGGGTCCGGGCTCTCGGGGGCTTGACAGGGGCTGGGATCGGGGTCTGCGCTGGCGTCCTTTTGGGCCTCATCCCAGGGGAAGGTCGGCTGCCCCCGCATCTGCTCCTGGTAGACGCGGTCGAAGGCTTCGCTCTGGGCCACAGTGAAATAGTTCTTCCAGTCGCCGCACACCCCTGAAATGGCGGTGGGGGAACACGACAGACAGGGGTGAGCAACCGCCCCCATTCTAGGATCTCTTTCCCACCCCCCCTGGGCTTTGCCAATGATGCCCTCTTTTGCCAGGCAAGCTGTGGCCACCACGGCTACCTTTCAGGGCCCGGAGAGGTTGAGCAACCTGCTCAGGGTCGCACCTTTTCGGAGGAAGGCCCCCTGCCGATTGTCCAGCAGGCTGGGGGGCAGCAGCGTGTAGTTGGACATCGAGTTGGCCTTCATGGCGCCGAAGGCCGAGTGAGCCACGACGGAGTCCAGCGCCTCAGGACTCAGCGGCCGGCCCAGGAATTCTGCGACACGCTTCACAGAGCCACGGAAGTCCTGGGGGTGCGGGGTGGGGGAGGCAGGCATGGAGGAGAAGGGTCAGGGGAGTGGACGCAACTCACGGCGGAGGAGCCAGGAGACCCCAAGAATAGAGTCTGGGCATCTGGACCCTAAGCTAGAGCTGTCTGGGGGAGGCTACCACCGCCCTGCCTCAGTTTCCCCACCTGCAAGCCAAGGGGTTGGACCATGTCTTCTAATGAATAGGCTCTTCCAGTTTTGAGTTTGGGGGTGTTGTCTGGGTGGGAGAAGAGGCGCCCTGGTGGTGCAGTGGTTAACATGGGGCTGCTAACCGCAAGGGCAGCAGTTTGAAACCACCAGCCCCACAGAGGGAGAAAGATGACGCTTTCTACTCTCATCAAGAGTTAGTCTCCGATACCCACAGGGGGGCAGTTCTACCCTGCCCTTCGGGGTCACTATGAATCACTCTTGACTCGATGGCAGTGAGCCCTGACCCTTCCTCTTCCTCTTCTCTCTGGCCTCCTGCTCCCAGCACCCCCACATGCCCCCAGAAGGGCCTGTCTTCATCCCAGGCTCACCCTGCTCCCCGCCCTCCGGTAGCTCCCCAGTGCCCTGGGAGGGTCTCAGCTGTGCACCCTCCCTTCCCAGCTGCCT